AGTCCTGGGACGGAGCCCGGCAGCTGGAAGGCCTCGCTGCCGCGCGCCCCGCCTGGGGGTTCGAGGTCGGGCCGGAGGGGGCGCGCGCGCGCGGCGCTTTCCTTCAGACCCCTCCGCCAGGGGCCCCGCGGGACGGAAAGACGGGCGCAGTGTCGCCTGCGACCCGCTTTGTGTCTCGGGCGGGTATGGCGCTGCTCGTTTTCGATGCACGATCGGCATGCCCGTCTTTGCCTGGAAGTTCCCGAGATTGCCCTCCGCCGTGGCAAGTTCCCGGAACGGTGCGACTCTCCCTTTCTGTTTCCTCCTAGGGGCACTATGAACGGAGAGGAGCAGTTTGTAAACATTGATTTGAATGATGACAACGTTTGCAGTGTGTGTAAGCTGGGAACCGACCAAGAGACGCTCTCCTTCTGCCACATTTGTTTCGAGCTAAATATTGAGGGTAAGGACACAGCATAGTTCTTGATTTTTTTTTTTTTTAATGGCAAAAACTCGACACAGCTATGCCGTGCTGGCTGCAGGGTACAATTAAAATGTCTTGAATGGTTGGAAATTGTGCTGAGCGTGGAGAGATCGTGAAAAATGAGGATTTCTGGAGATGAAGCTGCAGTGAATACAGTGTTGAGTTTAAGAGAAATCTTTTTTTTTTTAAACACCCACAGTACTAACCCAGTTTTTGCTACTACTGTAGAAGTGAAGTATGAGTGTTGACTGGTCAACATGTTTCCTGGTTTGAGAGGTCACTAGATTGCCAGATTTTAACAGATAGGTGTTTTTCATATTAAGAAGTAACTTGGTGGTTTGTGTGGATGGGCGATGCCATTGTATTCCTTCGGGCCTATCACCCAATTACTTGAGTGAGGGTAGCCTCTGCTCTTCCCACCAATAAATACTGTCTTAGTATCTGGAAAAATGTTTTAAAATTTTTAGATAACCTTTGGTCAGTAGTTTTTAAAGACTAAAAAGGTTTTTGAATTTTTTAAATGGTATCTCTAAGAGAGATGAAGAAAACTCAAAATATTTTAAAAAGTCTTACTGAATGTATTGTGGGTTGGGATGCAGTTGCTGTGTCTGATTATCAGTAGTTTGTTTCCAAGAAACAAAACGTGTGGAATATGTTTTCTTAATCTTGATGTTGTCATATGAAAACTCTGACTTAAGATATTTATGAGTTACACTAAAAGGAAACTCAATATTTTTGAAAAAAAAAACTTTGCCTGTATTTTGAATTTTGAATTGTAACATAGAGTAGAGAGACTTTATTAGACCTTTCAATTTTGAACAGTTTCAAAATAGCATTTTCTTTTCCCTAGATTATATATTTTTAAATGTTCATGATATTTATTTTTTCTATTTACTAAGTAGGGATATGAAATGTTCTTATAGTTTTTAAAAAAAGCTTTAGGATTATATACCCTGAATTTCCTGTTAGGACTTGTTATTCAGAAATTATCGTCACTGAATAGTGTGTGATGGAAGATTGTGGATTTCCTGTGGGTTGCATGGAATACTTGTGACTTTGGCTTTAATAAATGTACCGATTATAACTAATTTCAAAAGGATGACTTAGCCAGAATGATGATACGCTCCTGTAATCCCAGCTACTTGAGAGGCTGAGGTGGGAGGATTGCTTGAGCCTAGGAGTTCAAGTCCAGCCTGGGCAACATAGCAAGACCTTGTCTCTACAAAAAGAATAACTTAAAAGTATGATTCTAGCCGGGCTCGGTGGCTCAACCTGTAATCCCGCGCCTTGGGAGGCTGAGGTGAGTGGATTGCCTGAGCCCGTGGGTTCGAGACCCGCCTGGGCAGCGAGACCTCATCTTACAATAAATCAAAAAAAATCAGCCAGGCGTGGTAGCGCATGCCTGTAATTCCGGCTACTCGGAAGGCTGAGGCAGAAGGATCGCCGGAGCCCAGCAGGTCGAGGCTGCGGTGGCTGGGAGCGGCCACTGCACTCCAGTCTGGGAGACAGAGTGAGACTCCAACTCAAAAAAAAAAGTATGATTCTTCTGTATGTAAATTACTGTCCTTAATCATGCTAGAGTGAAAGCTCTAAACTTACATTCTTTGGAAATAGAGGCTCTATGCATATTCTGATACATTGTAGAATTTTAATTCTACAGTGCAAAGACATTAGAAATTATCCAGTCCAAACCGTGTATTTTATGTTTAAGGAAACAGGGCCAGGCTCCTCAGAGTTGCTGTAGTAGTGATGGCAGGCGGTTGTTACGTGCCAGGTACTGTGTGCTAAGCCCCAAGCCCCTTATGTGGATTATCTTAGTTGGCTCGAAATAGCTCTGGGATGACGACTATCATTATCCATTTTAAATGTGGTAGAACTGAACCTTGGAGATCTAAGAAATGCACTTTGAAGTCATACTGCTAATAATTGATAGTCCCAGGCTTTGAAGCCTAGCAATCTCATTCTAGTATATGTGACCTTAATTCCATCGATCTGCTGTCAATAGTTATTTTAATTGATAGGACTGATGTTAGAGACCTTTTCTCCTGACTCCTGCTTGGTTGTCTTTACTGTTAGTCAGCCAACTTTTTCTAACCAGTGCTTCCTGCTTCATTAGTGGAAGTCATGCAGTGATAGATTCTTTTTACAGAAACTTAAATTTTTATAAAATCATTTTTCTAGTTTTTTAAAATATATCTTTTAAACTAGTTCTCAATCATGATATAGAGAATATACAAACATTCTTCTGCTTAAACGTATTAGCTCTGGCAGTATCTCTAACGTTGCGTAAGTCCTGTGTTTTCGAAATATTACTTGTCTTCAATTTAAACAACAATTTCCAATTTGAATTACAATTATTTCATTTAATACTCTACGTATACTTAAGGTTTTTTATATTAAAATGCCAATTTAACCTCTGGGGAAAATAATTTCTTCTCAATTTATCTGGTGTCAGTTATCAGCTCTCATACATTTTCATTTTTACTACAATGAGGAGCTAGTGTGTTACAACCATTTGTATAATTTAATATTAAAAGATTATCATAGTGTTGGAATTACAGACTGAGCCACCTAATGTGACGTAGAAAAGAGGAAAATGAGTACCCTGAATTCCACAAAACTTCAGTTTTTATATTAGTATACATGTCTTTAAAATTCAGTGGGAAAAAAGTAATAATAAAATAATCACATGCCAGAAGAATAACAAGGTATATTCTTTGTCTATGTCAGTAATCCTTTTAAAAACTTTTCACTACCAAATTCCCAGCACAATGCCAGTCAATAGACTAGAAGGTAAGAGGGACTTTTTTTTTCCCCAAGCTGCTACTCACAGCAACAAAAATGCATTGACTGAAGAGGGACTTTTAAAAAATGACATTTAAAGCCGGGCTCGGTGGCTCAGCCTGTAATCCCGCGCCTTTGGGAGGCTGAGGTGAGTGGATTGCCTGAGCCCGCGGGTTTGAGACCCGCCTGGGCAGCGAGACCTCATCTCTACAATAAATCAAAACATCAGCCGGGCGTGGTAGCGCTTGCCTATAATTCTGGCTACTTGGAAGGCTGAGGTGGAAGGATCGCTGGAGCCCAGCAGGTCGAGGCTGCGGTGGCCGGGAGCGGCCACTGCACTCCAGTCTGGGCGACAGAGTGAGACTCCAACTCAAAAAAAAAAAAACAAAAAAAAAATGGCATTTAACTTTATGAGTTTTGGTATAATTTTTTTGTGTTCTGGTAATCTTGATGTTATCCAATTTCTTAGCTTAGATTGCTAAATTCACTTTAAAGCCCTCTACTTTTTTCTGAGAGGAGAAAAATATGCCTTCTTACTAGTAAATTCTCTTGAGGAATAATAACAAACAGGCTAGTTTTGAGTCTACACATTTGTAGTAAACAAAAATAATACATACTTTTTGGATTGTTGCTTACATCAAATCAGCACTGGGCTCCTTAATCAACTGGCCTCTTGTTTAAAGGCTGTTTAAAATGAAGGCAAGGGAAGAAAGACAAATAACAAAAGACAATCTAATCTTGTTGGACAGATTTTGTATTCTGGACATGGCTCCCAGTTGGCTTTTTCTGTAACTTTACAATAATTAAAAGGAAAGGGGTGCCTAGTTCATTGTGCCGAAATCTCTAAGAATATTTAATGACCAAATCACCATTATTCCCTAAGCTATTGAGGCAGAGAGGAAGGCGGCCTAGGATGGTTAGGATCCAGTAACGAAACTCAACTATGATGTAACAAAGACAGAAATGAGACTTGAGAAGAAATCCAGGGCTCCAGACAGTTACTTCAAGCTATTTGTTTTCATTTTATGCCAAAATACTGTGCAGCCAATTTTTAGAGCATTTCTCCCTGCCTTTAATAGTGAAACTTGCTTCCTTTTCTATAAGACAAAACCTTTTTTCTTCAAAACTTGCTTAGCTTATAATAACTTAGATTTTTTTGTTTGTTTTTTGTAAATAGATGAAGTTTTGCTATGTTGCCCTTCAAACTCCTGGGCTCAAGCAACCCTCCCACCTCAGCCTCACAAGTAGCTGGGATTACTTGTGTCACCTTGCACCCTGCTAAAATTTTTTTTTTTTTTTAAATAAGACTAGCCCTGATCCTACATCCCACATCCAAAATCTGCAACTTTTTGAGCACTGACATGACGCTCAAAAGAAATGCTCATTGGAACATTTTGGAGTTCAGATTTTTGGATTTGGGATACTCAGCCAGTAATAATACAAACATTTAGAACACTCTGGTCTCAAGCATTTGGGATAAGGGGTATTCAGTCTGTACCAAGCAAAGTTTTCTGTGTGAGTTTATCTTGATAGTTGATAGTTCTGGGATAGTCCATCTCTGTGTAGTCCATCTTGGACTTCTTTCCCCTATAATTAGTTGTTCTTTCCAGGAACCTTTCTCAAACAGACTCAGTTTCAGCTGTTGATAATCTTTCCTGCAAGAACAATCTGTAGGTATTTTCTCTTTGTTAAGTCATTGGTGAATCCAATGCCCACTTTTAATGTTACTGTTTCTTGACTCTGTCTTTGCCCAAAAAATATTCATATAGTGTCAGTAGTTGGGGCCGATTGGAATCTCAGTATTAAATCTTTAGTTTGGGAGTTGGAACTGGTCACTTATTGTTTGAGATTTATCACTCATTGTGTGTCCTGTATCTGACACACCATCTTTTCAATTAAATGAAGAGAACCTACTACTTGTGTTAGGGAAGTTATAAACTGCCAACTCAATCTGGCAGTAGCCTTCTTCTCTTGTTTCCTGGCCCTTAATGGTAAATATCACATACTAACTAAAAGTTGCACTTTTGAGTATAAAACCTAATGTGACTTTTTTTGTTGTTTTTCCCCCGGAGTCAAAGTCTCATTTCATCTCCCAAGTGGAGTGCAGTGGCACGCTCACAGCCACTCCAGCATCGACCTGCTGGGTTCCTGCAATTCTTCCACCTCAGCCTTCCAAGTAGCCAGAACCACAGGCA